TACACTGGACTGTGGTGTTACAGCTCTGTATTACAAATGAGGAAAGCAGGCTCTACCAGTGAGATTTCCATTTCTGCAGTCAGGTGAAAGACTTTTCTCCAAGGAAACAATATTGTAGTAGCATTAAATTTTCATTTTCTCAGTGAGTTTACTCTCTGAATATATTTTGAGTGATTTTTGTCTTGTTTTCAAAGCTCATGGGAATGCAAAAATTGAAACACCAGACTGCTTTCTGCTTGGAAATGAATGCTGTTAATGCTGGCACTGCATGTTTCCATAAACTAGTTTCATCACTCAAACTTTAAGAACTTCCCCCCACAGGATATTGAAACAAGAGTTAATTTACAAACTTTCATAGGTATCTTTGAACATTACATTAGCTTTAATTTGGCTGCAACACAGGACTAAGCCTGTCCTCTGCTTCCCCCTTTCTATCACACCCATGAGAACTGGGCCAGGTTATCAGTGCTGCAACAGACTGAAATCAGCTATTCTGATTTTATCAGGGAAAAAAAAAAGAAAAAAAACCTGCAGTTTTTTAAAGTGTCAAAAGATTTTCATTGAAACCAGGAGCTGAAGCTCAGGACTGCAGAAAACAAGTATTTGATTTTTTGTTTCACTTTCTCTGAGCATGGTTTGATCCAGCTGTGCTTTACTTCTTGAAATACACCAAAAACTCGACTAGGGTGCAGCAGAAAGCTGATTAAGTCTATGCTGAGTGGTTGATTCCTTCCAAAGAAGAATCCTTAGGATAACAGACTCTTTCCCCTTTCCACACTGGCATGTTTTATTGCTCCTTGTGCCCTACGAACAGAGTCAGAAATACCCTCACTTTGCAGGCTCTCTGGGGCAGGTTAGGACAAGGTTCTTGTCCTTCTGCCCAGCTCCTTTCTGCCATACAAATGCTCCCATTTGATTGTAAGAGAGCACTTTGTGCTGGGTTATTTCCCAGCCTCCTCCCAGTGCCCTTTAAGAAGGGTTTGTGCAATACTGGGTGAGAAACACGATCAGTAAATTGGTACCCAAACTCTTTCTCCTCTCCAGTGAGTGAATAAGATGTCCTGAAGAAGGGAGAGGGGAAAATGAGTAATTTCTAACATCTGAGAGCTATTTGTGGAGTCTTGAAGAAGAATGCATGACTTTAACTACAGACTGAGTCCATTCCTACAGGCACCAAGGGGTTTTAGCTTGCTAACACTGAGTCAAAATAAATTCCTTACACAAAAACAAACAAAAAGAAACATAAATTATAAATTCTTTATCATTTAATCAAATAACACACACATACTCCAAAGGGAGGATGTGTGTGTTGTGTGATAAAATCATTAAGAATTGTGCCATTGAATCTTTCCAAAGCTGAAAGTTACTGCTGATTTTGCACTGAAGAAAAGGATACCCTCTGTTCTCACAGATTCTCAGACCAGAAAGTGCCCACAAAATGCAGTTCAACACCTCTGTTTGGCAGAGGTATGATCTGACAATCAGAACCAACAATCCTCGCTGTGTCTGCCTCATGACAAAACCTGGACCAGCTCTGCACTAAAAATAAGAGTGTGAGCTACATCTAAAGGTTAAAACCCACAACCCTCAGACTCCTAAACCCTTGCAATTTCCAGGAGCTCAGAGTGCTCCTGAAGTTGTTAATGTGCCAAAGCAGATTTTGGAGTTCAGAAACATGGCAATTCAATTTAGGAAATATGCGTGAAAATAGGAATTTAAGCCTAAACATAGCAAGGCCGTATTGGAACTTTCCCCAAGTGTATTCCTTTGGAGAGCTCTCATACTTTCCTCCAGAAAGCTGTCTGCTTAAAATAGCTGTCAGCTTTCTAAAGGCACTGATTAATTCCACTGGAGTTATTTCTGCCCCCAAGAATACTAATAAACTTAACAGACAATGGGGAAAGCTGCTGCTAATGGATGTCTCACATATTTTAAATAAAGCCCACATATATGCCTTGCTAAGGGTTTTTAGTTTTTTAACTTGATTTTCACTATACAACCTATCAGTCAGTGCTTATAAACCACTGACCAAAGCCATTCAATCACTGCTAGTAATTAGTTAGTAACTGCCTTGTAATTGCCTCAGAGTTAGTAGTACCTGTCTAGTCATTCCCAGTAACTACTAGAGCTAGTAAGTCCCTAGGAACTGCTCAGTAACTGCAAGAAGAGTTGCTCAGTAACTACGAGGAAGAGTCTAACAACATTGCAATAACTTAATAATAATAACAATAACATAATAATATAATAACAATAATATAATAACAACAACATAAGAATATAACATAAAAACAATAATATAATAGCAATAACATAATAATATAATAACAATAATATAATAACAATAACATGATATAATATAATATAATATAATATAATATAATATAATATAATATAATATAATATAATACTATACTTGTGGTAACTGCTGGTAACATCTTAGTACCTAACAACCACTAGTAACGACTTTGTAGTGTCTATATCTAATATTTACTAATCTAATACCTAATAATTACTAATATATATCTAACATTTACTAATCTAATATCTAACAATTACTAATTACCAATTACTGCCTTGTAACTGCCTAGTAGATAATAGTTACTGCCTAAGAGCTCCTGGTAGCTACTTAATACCTGCCTAATAATTACTACCTTGTAATAACAATACTTATATATATATATATATATATATATATACTACCTTGTAATAATAATAATAATAATAATAATAATAATAATAATAATAATAATAATAATAATAATAATAATAATTCCTGCCTTGTAACTGCCTAGTTAATATTATGCCTAATTCCAGCCCTTCCCTTCATGGCGCCATTGACCCAGCCCTTTTCAGGGCTGAATTCCCCTCAGCCCCCATTGTTTCCACCCCAAGGAGAATGAGCAGAGTGATTTCCCCCCACTTTTCCCCAAAAAGGGGCTTCATTGAGATCAGGGCCTTGTCTCACCTGTGAGGGTCACATTGGGTGGTTAAAGCTGGATTGCAGTGGCAGGAGGAGTCTCAGCAGCTCCTGCTTGGCACAGGGATTTTTTTCCTCCTGCTTTTTCCTTTTCTTCCTCTCTAATTCATGGCTTGTCTGAGCTCTGCTCAAAACAGTCTGAAGCTGCTGCCATTAAATTTGATAAAATCGTGCTTTGGGTAATTTTTAGAGGGCAGCAGAGGGTGCTGTTAGTTCCCCTGTGGGGAGGATGGGGCCACTCACCCCTCCAACCCAAAATCCACACAGATCCAAAGCCCAAAATAATCTCCATGCTCAGGGCTCAGCCTTGCTCCATGCTCCAAAACTGATGCTCTTCTCCAGCTGGCTCTGAAATTCAATGGTTTTTTCAAGGGGCTCAGAGTAGGTTCCCTGCTCTAAATATGGATTGAAACAGAAGGAATCCCTGATATCCAGCACCTGCTTTGAAAATATAGATTCTTTGTTGTAATTTTATTATTCTGCTCTGTATTATTTGTTATTTGGGAACCAGAAACAGTGTTTGGTGTGAGTAATGACTATGTTCAATACAGCCACACTCCAAGCTGTGCAAGTTTGGGAGGACAAAACCAATCAGCAGTGATTTTGAGGTGCTGAATTCCTTCTAAAAGATGCCTAGAGCCAAGGGAATAACCTCTGAACAAGAGATGAGACCAGAGCATCCTGCCATCACCTACCACACATGCAGAGCATTGCAGCTAACATTGTCATTGCTTGTAGGATTTAATTGCCTGCAGTGACTTTCCTGGGGTGCACAGGGTGAGCTGGGAGCCTGGTGCTGGTGGCTCTGGGACAGCTCTGGCCCTCCTCAGGAGCAGGGCAGGTGCCTGGTTGGTGTGGAAATACTGCTCACAGCCACATGAATAGCCAGATCCCCCTGGATTTATGGAGCTGTGGATTGATACTGTTTGTGCTTGGCACAGGCAGGCTCTAAGGCAGGGATTTGTTATGACACCAGACTTCATCTGCAGGCAAGAGACACTGCCAGAGGCTTTTAGCAGAAGGTGCTGAGCACTTCTGTGTCTCAAAGAGCCCAGTGATACTTCCCTTGGAAAGTAAAGGATTCATTTTACTGCCACAGGACGCACAGGATTTGCCCTCTTTATTTCTCTGCAGCTCACTTTTGCTGCTGACCAGGCAGATTTTCCTGTGCAGCACAGAGATGTGGGAAGAATACTGCAATCACTGTTATCTGCACAGTGCTTAAAGCAGGACACAGCATCAGGTTTCCTCGGTGGAGGGTGAGATTAGCAGGAACCAGCCCTGGGAACGCTGTTAAATGATAAAGAAATGCTGAAGGGCAGTGTGGGCTGGGTTCAGTTTTCACAATGAGTTCGCTCTCACACATGAGGGCCTTTCCTTGTGTCTCATTGAACTTGCACTGGTGCAGGGAGTAAAGCCAGGGCCTTGCAGCTCCTGACTTTGGTCTCTCTGTTGGACCATCCTTTTCCTCTCAGGGGGCTCAGATTCTCCTCCACAGCTCTCAGGTGCTGGTTCAAAGAGGTTTAGAGCATCCAAGATGGTGAGAGTGTCAGGATGTCCTGCTTGCTCCTGCAGTCTGTGCTGAACTCTTGGTGTCCTTCCAGCTCCTTCCCCCCTGCTCTGTACACACACATGTTGCCCCTGGCATTTGGGATGTGAATTCCTCTTTTCCTGGTGCTGACAGGATGCTGAGAATGTCAAGGCACATGTTTCCCTGTTATCCCTGCCTCTGAACTCGCTGTCCATCTCTTGGAGGGTAAAAATAAAGCAGCTTTGTTTGATTTCTAGAAAAAGCCAGACAGAAGCGCAGGGGTCAGAAATAGGCATCCCAGCCCTCCCCATCCCACTGTCTCAGCTGTTGCTTCCTGAGAGACAGAAGCATGTGGTGGCTAAAAATACCCTGTGAGGAGAATACACTCTCTCTCCAATGGGAGAGTGTAAATTAAGCCGAGTTGTAACATATACAACTTCTTGTGGCAGGGAGAAACACCTCCCCACGTCACTTTCGGAGAGGGTTTTCCTAATGGAGCAGAAACACCAGCCCTGTCCCATCCCCGCATAGCTCAGGGCTGCTGAGCAGAGGATCTCCTGCCTCCCCTGCTCCCACCCCCTGGCCCTGCTATGGGAATCCGTGTGCCCAGGGGAGGGGGCAGAGCAGCCCTCCCTTTATAAACCCCACAGCACATCCAAGCTGGCAGCAGTGCCAGGAGCTTTGCCTTGCCCTGAGACACCCACCTCCCAAAGCCTGGGCTCCCTGGGATGACCAAAGGAGGAATGGAGTCCGTGGAACTGTTCACAACCGAAGGCAAAGGCAGGGGATTGAAAGCCCAGAAGGAATTCCTGCCTGGGGATGTCATCTTTGCAGAGCCAGCCTACGCAGCCGTGGTTTTTGACAGGTAAGAGAAAAGCGCTTGGAAAGCTCGGGGCAAAAATAATCTCGCTGCAAAATTTCATCTGGGTGGTTGGGTAAAAGTTTGGAGGTGCCTGGATGACATCAGAGAAGGATCAGAGGGAAGTCAGAAGCACTTCTGGAGAGACACATTCACAGCTGGCAGTGAACGTCCTTCCCAGGGCTCAGACCAGCCTGCTCACCTGCAGGAGGTGCAGTTTGTGTCCGGGGTGTGACCTTGCAAGGTGCTTGGTGGTGCAACCTTTGAGAAAAGCAGGGAAAGCTGGATGCACTCAGTGCCTCGCAGAAGCAGCAGTGCTGCACTGCAGGGAACTGCCAGGAGCCAGGGCAATTCAGGTACAGGAGCCCCAGACTGGCTTTGCTCAAGCCTCTGGTGGGTAAAACACGATAAAAGTGAGTTCTGTGGTGCTCTGCTCATTTTACCATCCCCAGCTGCACTTGCAGCTCCATCACCGCTGCCCTGGAGCGAGGAGCTGGTGGGGATCAGCGAGTGACACTGTTTCTGTTAAACAGATTTAATATTTACAGCTGCCGGAGCCAACTGGAGACAAACGTCTGCTTCTGCTCTTTCACGAGACTTGGTTTTGAATTTATGCTCCCACTGATGTAGCCAGACTCTGAGTTCTGGTGCAAGGATATTTTTCTTTTCTGCTGCTTGTTTTAATCACAACATTCACCCAATCTGTGCTGCTGGTAGATGCCCACTTCTGCCCTTTGGATCAGTGGAAGATTCGCTTAAATAACCTGGAAAAGATGCAAAAATGGATTTCTGTGCTGATTTCCATTGGATTAAATATAAATTAAAGCCTCTGACACAAATGAAATTTCTTCAGCCTTATAACATGGTAACTGAGAACAGAATGTGGCCTGGATTTTTAAACTGAGGACTTAGATGGCAGCTGAAGGTTTAATTCTGAGCTTAAGAAAGTTATGAGTGTTCATCAAGGGCATCATGGTGAATCCTGAGACTGAGTTTTTAGCCCCAAACAGCCAATGACTCCAGTAAATACCCTGCACACCTAACAGGGCTGTGAGCAATTCTGCTTAGCTGAGTTTGTCTAATTAAATCAGCTCTGCTAACGAAGTCTGGGGCACAAGCAGAGGCTGTGCTGCTGCATTAGCCCTGGTGGAATTGTAGCTGAAGCTGCTCAGTGCCACTGTGTGATCTGGCAGCAGCAGAGAATTGGATATTAAATGGGCAGAGGAAGAAATAAGTTTTTTATGTGTCTTTCATTCACTGTTTCTTTGTCCTTTAACTGTCAGTGGGTGAACATGATTATGAATCTTTGCCATAGCAGGAGTGACGCCTTTAGTTTTTATTTTAATGTCATTGCAAGAGCTCACATTAAAAATGCCGTTTTTCACTTTAAAATGTTGAGTTCTTGAAGTCTTAACCCTAAGCTCAATTGCAGGAGTTGGTGACAAAATAATTTCTCCTTGATGTGTCCTTTTAGCTCTTCAGTCAGTACCTCAGTTTCACTCGTGTCACTAGCTGGAATTTTGTGGTGATTTGCTTTGGAAGTGCTATGGACAATTATTTCTCTCATATACCTTATTAAAAATACTTTTTTTTAAACAGCTGGAAACATCTTGGCTTTTGATGGTGGGTTAAAACCAATTTTTTCTTCCATGTGCAATGTTGCACCATGCAGAGAGCAGAGCAGCCCATGTTGAAGAGCTGCAACTTTGCTGCATTTTCAAATGTCACGGGTGTAATGTGAGACAAGGGCAGAAGCCACCACAGCTCAGACTGCAGGCTGTGGCTCAGGCTGAGGTTTCCAGCAGAAAAGCTCAGATGTGTTTCCCTGCTTCCCTCCCTTCCTGCCCAAGCTGGGCTTGTGCAGCTCCCAGAGGGCAGGTGCAGAAGTCAAGGTAAGCACAGCCCTTCTCTGCAACTGTTGAGCAATAATTAATGGATTCTGACCCTCCTGTGGCACATTTCATCTCCAGGCACTGAATATGGGTCAGGGGTGAAACACAGTCCCAAAATCTCCGAAACAGACCAAATGCTTGTTGGCAAGAGCTTGGCAGGATATACCCTGGGTGTGAGATATAATGGAAACACACATTTTTCTTGTGGAAATTACCTTGATGCTTTTCCTCCACACCCAGGGCTTTTGTTTTAAAGGTCCCTTCTCTTGCTGTCCCTGGGTTTCAACTGCATCAAACTCCATTGAATTAAGTGCTATCAAAGAAGGGTTGCCTGCATCCTCACATTCTTTGTTCCTGCAAGATTAAATCCACACCTGGCCTTGGCAGCTGGTTTTACCCTATAGGAACTGCTGTTGGGATGAGGAGCCCAGTGAAGGGGCATGTGCCTTTCCTAGCCCACAAACAGAGGTGTATAGCTCCTAAAATTGCTGTTGAATCTACACTATTAAAAAAGGGCCTCAGCCTGCACAGGGAAACCCCAAATCCAGAGTCCCTCATCCTAACTCAACTCAGTATCCCCCATGCCTTGCTGAAAGCATTGTGTACTACGGAAAAGGGACTCAAATAGGAAGGATTGCTGGGTTTAAGTTTTGACTCAGGCCCTACCAGATATGTGACCAGATTTTCAGAGATCTCAGCTGTCTTTGTGCACACAGATGCACCAGAGTGCAGAGCTGGTCTCTGCTTTGCAGCCCTTTGAAGAACTCAGTCCTTTGGGAAATCCATTTCCAGTCTGTGGGTATGGAGGCCCTGAACTCATTCCCCTGATTTTGCTGTTGAAAGGTGTCTGGAAGGCAGCTGCAGTGCAGAGGCCACACAGGGATTTCTGTGTGGCTGCATAAGATGTGCAGGCAAAGCAAAGATCTGTTTGAGATTAGGAGGAGCAGCCCTGCAGAGATCCAACACCACTGTGCTGTCCAGAGAGCACAGTTTGAAATGGAGACCAGACTGGGATATCAGCCACAACTCACCTGGCCAATAACCAGATGGTCAAGTTTAAGGTCAGTAACAAGTTACACGTGGGAGCTTTGACAAGCTGCCAGGCAAATCAATCAATGCCCTTCCTGCACTTACCCAGAAAGTCAGGGCTGTGATCACTGTTTGGAGAGGTTCTTCTATCAGCCCACTATGGATCCAACCCATATATCTATATATACACACACATATATATACACGTATATACACATATATATATATACATATATATACATATATATACATATATACACATATATATACATATATATACATATATATGTGTGTGTATATATATACACATATATATACATATATATATACATACATATATATATACACACACTCATATATATATCTATAGACATAGACATATACATACATAAAAATTATACATGCATATATAAAAATTTTATTTATATATATATATATATATACTGTGGATATCACAGTACAGACTCCAACCTGACTGATATGTAGATAGAGATGGATACCTAGACAAACAGACACACGTGAAGAGCTGTCAAAGTAATTTGTCACCCAACTGCACTTTATTAATGTCTGTCTTTCAGTAGGAGGCTGAGTTGAGGAATTGAGATTTTATTTTGCTAGGAAAAAGGATGAATGTTTCCTTTGACAAAACTCTATCATCACCGGAGCCTAACACTGGACTTCTGTGTCCAGACGAGTGAATCCAACACTAAATGCTGATATAATCAATGGAACTTTGTATGTGCAGTGAACACAGACATCTACCTTTTAGCTGAATGGCTTTCCAGACCCTTTAGACACATCTTGGTGTCTAAATCCACAGGCTGTCTCCCACCCTGGAAAGCCCTGAAGGTCACAGGGACCCTGAAAGCCCCTGAAGTTGTTTAAGTTGGTGACAGTTGTACTCTTCAGGCCAATGATGGCCATCTAAGCAGCAGTTTTTTACACAGTGCCAGAGCTTTTAATCCAGAAGTACGTAAAACTCAAAGAAAAATGAGGATGCCATAAACACCAGCCAGCTCAAAGTCAGATTTTAAGGCCAGAGCATGACTCACAAGGCTAACCCTGTTCATTTCAGGGGGGTTGGACTAGGACCAGGTGACCTTTAAAGGTCCCTTTAACCCAAACCATTCTGATTTTATGATTTTATAACTTAGTTGCTTCACACAGTGTACACTTAGCGTGGACTCCTGTATCAAGCCTGCTACTTCTACCTTAGTGAGAGCAGGCTGCTTAAAGAAATGGTGAACAGTGATGGCAAAGGGGTGCAGAACTCTGTGTGATTTCCAGGATAAAGTGCAGACACAGCCTGATCTCTAATTTACCCTTGCTGCAAATATCACCCACAAAACACCACTGTCAGGCTTTGCTCTGAAGTAGAAGCAGAAACCTGGAAATGCATCTTCTCAAGGGATTCTTTGCTTTTGTTAGGGTAATTTTTCAATTTTCAAGGGCCCCGAGCCTCTCACTGAGGCTTTCTCTAACCCTCCCTCCCTCTTTGCTTTCTCCCTGCAGATCCCAGGTCTCCTTTCCTCCATCACCTTCCTGACCAGGCATTCCCAGTGCCTGATGTGCTCTATGTGACCTTCTCCTCTGGCACATCCCGTGGCTCTCAAGCTTGCAGGAGTTTACATTTCCTATAAGCAAGGGGATGCCTCATTTGTCAGCCCTTGCCAAGAGAAATTTGCTCTTTAACCAGTAGGGATTGAGGGACAGTAGCCAAGGGAAACAGTGTCATGTGGTGGAAAATCAAGATCACCTGGAGGTCTGCTTGATGAGGGATCTGCAAATGGATAAAAAACTGAGATCATGCAAATTTTGCCTGTCTTTTCATGTACAAAGAGGCCAAAAACATTTTCCAAGGAAGTGTGGGGAGCTCTGCTATTGTAGTTAGGATGACCTAGACATATAAAAAATACAAAATTTTCCATAACAGCATGACTGAAAAGATTATGGGAACAAATTCTTTGAGCTGACACTGATAAAAACTGAGAGCTAATGTGATCATATTCATATTTGAAAAAAATGTCCTGGGGTTTGATCTTTTACAACTATCTAATTTGTTCAAAAGCCTAATTAAAACCTGAG